TTATTTTTGACTTCATACGAAACTTTTAGAGAATCGGAGTTTTTGATAAAAAGGCTGAAATTCGAGAGACAAAAAAAATCTCATCCCTGTATAAAGGTCAACCAGTTTTATCCCAAGGAAATGATTTTTAGAGAAACTTCAGAGGGAGGAAAAGGGACTTCAACAATTTCCCTCCGCGGAAAATTAAATTCCTCATAAAACATTTTAACTTGGGCAAAAAAAAATTTCAGCGGAAATTAGCGGGAAAAATGGAAAAATCTGAAAAACAGCGGAAATCCGCGAATCCGCGGAAGAATCTCATCCCTGGAGACAAGAAATTGTTAAACAAAGAATATTTTATACAATATATTATTCAAATTTCATATATCTAAGAAAATTTAAGTTAGTTGCAACTGATAAGAAATAATAGTATAATATTTACAAGAAATAACAGATATAATAATGCCTTATTTACTCTGAACATTAGTTATGTTTCGCTACCTTGAATTTTAAGACTTAATTATTTTCTTATTTGTAGCAATACTTTATTCATGTTTAACATATAAATTTCATTATTAGCAAACTTTTCCCCCCAAAATCAAATTCTCTTACAATTTCAGATTTAAATTAATCTTAATTTGGTATCATCATCCATTTTTCCTGTGTAATTAAACAATCCAGCTCTAGGGAAAATTTAAATTTCTGAGGATAGATTTACATTTCTCTTTCATTATTTAAGTGCATGATAGAATATTTCTTTATTGAACTAGAACGTAAGTCTGAACCATTTTATCAATCTCACGTTCCACTGTTACGTCCTCTGTACGTTCATCACATCTGGGCTCAGTATTAACAATGATCAGTCCGCAAAGGACCACTAAAATCTGTCTCAGATCACAATGAAATAATAATTAGTTGTTCCCCTGAATCAGTAACAAATTGCAGTCAATTGAGTGTAAAGAAACTACTGTATGCTTGCTTGGTTTCTTCATTTTATGTGTTTTATGTGTGTTTCTGCCAAAAAATTGCATACTTCATCAGAACTGAGAAGATTACACATTTTCTGTACTCTTTCAACTAATTTCATGTTTATAAAATCTTCTTTTACTTTTAATATCAGTATATATATATGTTTATCAGTTATCAGTGTTATGTATATCAGTTTATATATATGCTGATCAACTTGTAAAAGTATAAATTTAAATTGTAATACAAGACAATTATTTAACCTGTTTATTCAAACATAAAATTTTGATTTGTATAAAACTTTAATTGCAATTTATTTCATTTCACGTATTTTTAGGTTTTTTGTTTTGTCTTATTTATTTCTTTTTTATTTATTTCTTTTTTTATTTATTTATTTACTTACTTTGTTAAATCTAAATGGGGGTGGGAACAGACATTTAAAAATGTATACATACTATTGAAATCTTTCAGAAAAAAATCTTTTGGAGCAGTACACAATTTTCTTAATTTCGAGTATAAAATTTAATTAATTTCAAACTCTGCACTTTAGTCATGAGTCATTACTGGCGTTTACCTAAATGTTCTAATAATTGTAAGCTTTCTTAGATTATTTCTTAACATTTCCTTTTAATTTATTTCATTTTTCAATTTTTACACAACACTAACTAAATACAAAGAATATATATACTGATTATAAATAATATTAAATTTTTTACCTATTCCTGGCATGATATAAAACCTATCATTAACTTCAGGATCAACTTCTGAAGTAACAATTTTCACTTTTGGAAAAGCATACGCTATGGTGTGAACACCTAAAGAAAAAATATAATGAGGATGTGTTTAATAAAATAATTTTAAAAAAAATAAAACCAAAAATTTAAGTTTTTATATACTATGAAAATAAAATTTTATAAAATATAGGTAAATCACTTGAAATGACCAGATCCTTATTTGATTAAAATTAAAATTAACACACAAACAAAGGATTATATTATTTCCTAATAAACTTGGTAGATATGGCTGGTAGATAGTCTTTTGCTTTACAAAATTTAATTCCTTTACGATTTTATTTACAATACCATAAATATAAAATAAGCAGTGACATAGATTTGTTTGATGATTGATTAAAAATAAATGATAAAAAAAACTCCCATCCTATCAAATACATATTAATTCCATCATGAGTTTCAAAAACCAAAAGAATTCAATAAATGCCATCATTGAAAAAAAAAAATTTAGAATAAAGTTATGACATTTTTCAACATAGTCACATGAAGTTAGTGAGTTTTATTCGTTGCAGCAACTAAATGTATATTAACAATAATTTTTTAAAAATTTTTTAAGGTAAAATAAAGTATAATTTAATTTTTCAATACTATAATCTGCAGATTTATCCATGAAGAATCTGCATCAACCAAAATGAGTTTAGGAAGTTAATTGCTTTTTCTTTTTCAATACTACTGTGTTTAAAAAAGAATCCAACATAAATATTGCAATCATAAAGAATAATTTTAAAATCACTCGTATTAAAGATAGAAAGAAGTTCCCCTACCTTCTCGCTCCCCAGGAAAATGACGGGGTGAGGTTTCACCCTCTATTTCTCGATCCCCTGTTATTTCCGGGCTGGAGTGTTCAGTAGTAAAGCTCCAATAAGAATAAAACTAATTCATTTCTTTTGCACGGAAAACAGTTTATTTCTCATTTTACACACCAGATGGCAGTACCAGGATATTTTTAAGGTTATTGAAGATAGTTAGTTTGTTTTAAACTAGATGTCAGCACTAACGAGAGATGTAGGAAGGAAACTCGGTACTACTGTTCAGATTGTGACGTTGGCCTCTGTATCTCATGCTTTGAAATTTGTCACACAAGAAAAAATTACTAATCTTTATTTATATTATAGGTAAGTTTAATAAAATTATTTTTTAATGTTCAAAACACATATTTTTTAAATTTTCCTTGCTTGCTGGAAAATCAACATTAAGTCATAGAATGTTGGCTTTTCCTAAAAATTTAATTTTTTAAAATTTTAAGCTAAAAACAAATAAATATTAAAAATGAATATATATATTGTTCATACACATATTTTCATATAATTTTCAGGGATAAAAAAAATAGGCACTTTTATGACCGTTTTCTTGAAAATTAACCGATTGTTAAGTGGTTAACTTCCTTTCCTAATTTTGGTCGATCTGAATTTTGCTTGGATAAAAAGGACTTCCTAAAAGCTTCAAACAGAATCTTTAAAATAGAGCCGACAGTTTTGTCGTGTAAAATCTTCCAAAACATTTTCTGCCAAAAGATAGTTTACATAGAGATAGCATAGAAGTGTTTCCATAATTTTGTCCAACCCCTGAACATATTAATACCAAAACAACAAATTTTTTCCACTGAAAAAAGCAGTGTCCGCCTTGAATTGTAAAAGAAAATATATAAAGATGACTTTCCATAGCTTATTAAAAACTCTTCATTTAAAATATTAATAAAAGTATAAGAAATCCTGTACCGGATTCAGCCATTAATAAGGAACAAAGCATAATATTTTCTTCGGGGACACAATGGTCTAGAAGCACTCTGATAGCCATCATAGCAGCAGCACCTGTTGCAACAGTGGCGTCCATCAATATGATGAAATAATCCTTGATGTCTTTGGGTAAACGCAAATAATAGAGCTGTAAAGAATAATAAAATAATTATTGAACTCTAACTTGATATTGTGCAGTTAATTGTCGTTCTTTGCATCAAACACAGATGTTTAGACAAGAGACTAGATGTATTTTATTAAGATTATAAGACATATGAAATAGAATAGGGGTGCACAACCTGCAACACAACAGCTTTTGATGTGCAGCCCGCGGGAGTGTCAAAAAATTATAAATATTTTTGAAAAATGCTTTTATGTTTTTGAGCTCTTTTTGCGTAAATTTCTTAGTGAATCAAGTGCAGTTTTTCAACGGTTATTGCAACGGATTTTTGCGGTTATTAAATCGCAATGTTTATAATTAGATATGTTGTAATTTCCCTGTTTTGGGGCTAAAATAACGTTTTTCCCTGACTTTTTTTTACTCTAAAGATTCCTGGTGCATACGAACCTTGTATAAATTCCTGATGATGCTATTAAAGGGCTACACACGCTCATATATATATAAAAGTATACACACGCTCATATATATATATATAAAAAAGTATACACACGCTCATATATATATAGAAAAGTAAACACACGCTCATATATATATTATAAAAGTATACACACACTCATATATATATAAAAGTAAGCTTAAGTTAAAGAAAAAATTATTCCATAGTTATCATTTAAATTCTGGTATTTCCATAATTCAAAATTTAAACTTTGAAATATTATGCATTATATTTCTTTACAAAGGATGCTGGAAATAAGTGTAACACAAAAAAAGGAAGCAAAAAGAAAGATTATTAGAGTACCTTCAAACTGTGGAATCTACATTACCAGAGAAAGGCAAATCCTATAAAGAGCCGATTTTAATAGGTAAAACTAATTGTTGTCAAATTAGTCTACATAATTCTGGTTGTTTGCTCTTATCTGAAACTAATTTAAACATACTTTCAATATTATACTCACTTCAGGCTCTCCAGTTACTTGGTTTGTCTGAATTAGAATTTTTCCTAATCTGACGTCTTTAAGTACATCACAAAGTGCTTGTTCCATAGTTTCACCAGCACGTAAAATAGATACACCACAAATCTAAGGCGGGAGAGAGAAAAAAACTTGATCTTAAAGATTAAGCATACATAATAGAAATAAAAGAAATAGGAAAGCATTGAAAAAAATTCATAAAAAAAACATGTTGATCAAATATAAACTATTATAGGTTTTAACAATAAATTTTAAAAAATTCAAATTGGTATTAAATTAGAATGTTTATTAAAATACTTAACAGACTATCCTATAAGTGAATTAACCATAAAATTACAATGGTATAGTCACCATACATCAATCAAAGAGTAACGGCTAATATTATAAGTAAAACAAAACATAGAAATATGTGACCGAATAAGATTTTGGTAAATAATTAAATTTCAACTTATTAAATTAAGCATAAGGTGAACAAGATAATGCTGGTGTGTATAAGGAATAAGGCATGAATTACCCCATATTTATTGGTAAAGTTAAAAAATACAGTAAAATAAATGCTTAATTCTTTTTATATTTTATCTCACTTTTTTGCCTTTACTTTAACCTGATTCAGATGAAGTGAGATGCTTCGACAGAAATATTTTCAAAAAACTACGACACCATTACAAATTTATATGATTCTGCAGGGTGCATAGCCAAATTATTCAACAAAAAATGAGCACCTTTAAGCACTTTTCAAGCACTCAAAAAATATTTTTAAGCACTTTAAAAAAATATAATTAGTCAGGGTTGGAAAGCTTTTCACAATTAACAGTTTCATCTTGTTTCAACCGTCATATCAAAAAAAAATCATTTTGGCACTGTTTTTGACAATTGTCAAAAATCATTAAATTTTTAATCATGTAAAACGAATGGCGTCTTCATACGCTACGAACTGACAATAAGCCTAAATAGATTAGGGTAGAATTAATTGTGAAAGCGTTGAATAGAACAATGCGAACTGTGTCTTTTTGCATAATTCGAAACTAAAATCAACATAGTAAATGAAAAATCTCATTTTGAAAAAGGAAAAATTAAGCACTTTTTAAAAACACCAAATGAAAAAAGCACCTTTAAGGGCTTTTCAAAAAACGAAAATAAGCACCTTTAAGGGCTTTTCAAAAAACGAAAATAAGCACCTTTAAGCACTTTTTAAAAACGCTACACACCCTGTTCCAGTACATGTTTTTTAATTTAAAATTTATGTTGTTATATCAGTTTTTGAAACAAATATGGTTGAATGAATAATATTTAAGAATATCGTTGAATGAATACTCCATTTTTGAAACAGAAATGAAAACAAATCATTTTTGTCTATTCAAATTATTTGTTTTCATTCCAATTAAATAATTTGTTTTCATTCCTTCGGTTGATGTCAATGGTTTGCTTTCATGCATTCAATCATTTTTCAGAAATGTCAACTTTTAATATTTCATTCTTTTTACCTTTTAAAACAGTTTAGTTTCAGAAATGAAAACAAAACATTTTTCTTGATTGTTCTTTAACAATTTATTAACTTATGAAACACTATATTCTACTACAAGTTTCAAAGAAAAAACAATTATCTTTAATGAAATTTTGTATTAAAACAGATTACAAATCAATCTTGAAGATAAATTTGAATTGCAAGGTCTCCCGATTCATTAGAGCACAATTTTCTTACTCCAAATTATTATCTTTAAAATATTCCTGATAATACATTTGAATAAAAATACATTAATACTGTAAATGATCGTTCAACACTATTTCTGGATTATTAATTAAAACTTATTCCTAAATTGAGTGGTGGCCTGGATTATTAATTAAACAGTGATCTCCCAAATAAGATACCCACTCCAGAGTATCAAAATTGTGGTGGCATGTCTTCGGATCATCCTCAGCAATGTTTTCTAAACTGTCGCCAATAGTTTAATGATATAAGAAATGCAATGTTGAATTGTGTATCATTACACAAACTAGAGCAGAGTAATAGAATTAATCAGAAACAACAAATTAACAACCAGTATCTTCTCAGGAAACAAATAGCTTCAATAATAGAAATTAGTAAAAATGTAGATGCCTATTTCAACATGGATTTAAACTAAAATCTTTAAATGCTCAACATTTAAGATTAAAAAATTAATGATTAAAGCTTATAATAATATTTTAATTCAAATTATGTGATGAACTTTTACCTTTTCAGTAGCTATACGTTTTCCCTGATACGGTACTCCTTGAGGTGTTTCAACTATGATAGGCTGCATAAAAGAGAAAATATAATTATCCGAAGCATACATAAGAAAATAGGGATTTGAGAGAAATCTATTATAATAATTAAAAACAAAAGTAATTTTAACCGATAAGGATAGAAATACTACAAAATTAATTATTGTAAATATTTTAAAAGACAAATATTAATATTATGGATCAAATAATAACTCTTAGAAAGACCTCGATTGGGATTGCAATAAATTTAAGAAATAAACTAGAAAGATTTTAAATACACAGGCCAGAATGCAATATAAAACCAACACAATGATGTATTTTTTAAAACTCAAAATTAAATATTGATACCTGAGTGTGTTCTAGTTGTTCTTTAAATTCTAATGAAGTAGTTATACTTTTATTTGTCTCTTATGACATGTCGACATAAATAATTAATAGAAATTATCATTTGCAATTTTTTTCTATATTTTACATACTTTTAAATGCTCCTTTATTTAAAAAATTTATTATTTTTATATCATTGTCATGTAAAATTAAAATCATATTTAACTAACATTATTCGTTTATTTATGACTAAGCAATTAAAAATAAATAATTCAAAGTAGTAAGCTTATTAGAATGTATTTTGATTTGAAAACTTATCATTTAAAACTACTAATAAAATTACGAGAACAATCAAAATAAAAAGAGAGAGAAAAAAAACTTTCCAAGTATTCTTAAAAGTATTTTTGTTTGATGCGACCACCAACTAGAAATTCTTTGCTGAAAGGGTGACCCTTCCACCAGTTATCTTTGAACAAGTTTTCAGACCCCGAACAATAGACTAACTATCTCTACTCAAACATCTCCTCTAAGTAACAACCTTGTGAAAAATTTTAAGGGATCCCTCTAGAAGTGTAAATTAGCATAACAATTATGAAGAAGCTGAATTTATGAACATAGGCATGAAATATAAAAACAGAATTAAAAAAAATTACCTTGAAAATTTTATGTGAAAATAAAATACTTACTTTGAAAGGCAGCAAAGATAATGAATATTCTATAAGAAGCCTCATAAGTCGCTTGGAGTAAAAAATAAATTCATCCCTAGAAGTATTCTTGTCCCTAATGAAAGTATAGAGACCCTTTATTTGTGATGTGGACGGAAGAATTTGGAGAGCTTCAGGCAAAGGCTGGTCACTATGACTTTCAGCTAGTTTAGATCTATAAAAACAAAATTAGATCTAATCATTTCTTAACATTAACTAATTTTTTTTTAAATTACTAACTACAAAAAGCATACAAATTAAAAACTATGAAACAAAACAACAAATTTATCTATTGTATTTGCAAGCAAAAGTTATATTTATCAAAAAAAATTTATTCTTCTCATAACTAGGAAATGATAAATCATACTTTTTTACTTACCTCAACTTAAGGCCTCTCTGAAAAAAAGTAAAAGGGTAATCAGCACAAAATTGTGAAACTTTAGTTAATACATGATTTTCATGTTTATTTTAAATGATTGATTTAACTCAGGACATATTAACCAAAATACCCCAAGAAAGTAATTTAATGCCATAAGTACTTAAATTACTTTCTTCACAATTTTAAAACGAACATGTAAAAACATGTAAAATTTAACTTACTAGGAGGCTTCGCCCCCTGATCGCTGGCGCTCGCCAACCCCCGGAACTGCCTTGGCAGTTCATTTCGGATTGCTTCGCAATCCGATGCTCGCTTTGCTCGCTCATTGGATACGTTCTTAACGTCTAGCTTTTGTATACTTTTTTGAACACTGAAGTTCCGAAAACTTTTCACTGTAGAAAATTCTAAACCTGTGCATTTCAATATTAATTTGAAATTGCAAACAGTTCACATATTTTTCTTAATCACACTATTCTAAATTTCAGTTGTTGAGAAAAGTAACTGTTGTAAGTTTTGTTTTAAAGTCTTTCCCACCAGAGGGCTAAAACCATGTGTTGTAAAACAATATGAAATAGTACTGAACGCCGGATGTAAAGCATCGGCTTCGATGAAGATAATTTTGTGAGAATTTTTTTGATAATTCGGTGAGAATTCACCCGATTAGACATATGATGCTCACTACGTGCTCTTGCGCGCCGAAGCCTATCAATTAAAACGTATTAGCGTTTTATATAATATAGATTAGCCATATGATGCTCACTACGTGCTCTTGCGCGCCGAAACCTATCAATTAAAACGTATTAGCGTTTTATATAATATAGATTAGCCATATGATGCTCACTACGTGCTCTTGCGCGCCGAAGCCAATCAATTAAAATAGAAAAATTTTGCCAACGCGAGAAAAGAAATATCATCGGTTTTATTGATACATGCGTATTAGCGTTTTATATAATATAGATATTCATTCTTTTATCACAATAATGCTCATTTACTTTAGCAGAAAAATATATTTTAACTAACTTAATTTTGGAAATAAATTTTGACAGTAAAAACACTGAGTTAAAAATTTTGATAAGCAGATTTTATATTTTATTTCTTCTATGTCTTCATAATTAATTTAACAAATTTACTTTATTCCGATGGTTACAAAAGTGATTTTTGCATGTCAAATATACAATTTTTGCAAACCTTTAAATATGTTTTGAGAATAATTGCTCTTATTATTGTTTGTATTATTGATTTTTACTTTAATATATATATAATTAATATGTTGACCCATTTTATTTTTTAAATTTAAAATTCTCTGAGTTTCAAAAAACGTTTTATCAAAATATTTTGAAAAAAATGCTAAAATAAAGTGAGGGATAAACAAATTTTTACTTAAATCTTTTCTGCAGTTTCTCAGAAAAATTACAACTAACTTGGCCAGCTAAATCTTTTTAATAGCAAAACTTTGCTAGACTGAGAACTGTTAGTACTAAATGGCTTTTATAGACAAGTAAAAATTTCTAAACAAATAACTCGCTTTAAATTTATAAATTATAATATGCTAAAAACATAAAAATTTCAACTCTAGAATTAATATTCCCTTACCAATTGTAGTTGTGTATGCACATGTTGAACAATTAAGGATATAGCTATTTCATTTTCACCACCTAAAAAAAAGTAAATTAAGAAGCTTATAAGGCATATAGGTTTAGAATAATTAAAACAGATTTACAATGGCTTCTGGTGCATAAAAACCAGCCAAATAATAAAACCACATTATTAAAAAATAATTCTTACAAAAAAATTTAAAAAAAATTTTTTTAATGCAAAATTACTTTCACTTCACATAAAAATTTATCTAAAAAATATTCCAACAAAAGTTATTTTTTCTTTAAAACTTGATGCAGGATGATTTAGGCATTTGCTAAAATTTGTAACTAAATTTCTCTCTTCATTAAAGCCATATTTTTTTTTTTAAATTATGAATTTTAAAAATTTGTCAATATGGTATCTTAATCTCAAAATATGATTTTTATCAAAATATCAAAAATATGACATCAAAAATATGAAATATGTATCAAAAATATGATTTTTCCTTTTAAAAAATTAAATTTTTAAGAATATAAAATTTTGAATAAATTTAATTCAAAATTTACAAGTCTAATTTTTTAACTTAAAATATCACCTGCACTTATTAATTAGCATATTTTAGGGGTCAACCCCCATGAACCATTAAGATTGAGTCCTAGAGTGTGAAGATCCGATCATTAAATCAAAAGTTATTGAGGGTGGTCCAATTTTTTGGCACACTGTACTGCCAATGGCTAGGTGAGAAATTTGCTAATTTTCATTTGAAGTAGCATCCATACTTGGGGGATGATCTATTTAGACCTTTAGAGCATAAAAGAAAGAGATTTCAACTATCTTATCTTGCTACAAATGAGAAAAAACTTACAAAAAATTAATTTTATAAAATGTAATTTATTAGAATTTCTGTGATTTTGTAACTATCTACTATTTGGAATCTAAAGTTAATCTTCTGTAATTTGAGACTTCCATATCCCCCTTTTGATGAAACCTCTCACTTACAGTACTGAAACATATCTGCATGAAACTATTTTCATTTATGCACATTACATTGTTTTCTGCAACATTTTTCCCAACTCAAAAATAACATTCCTTTTGATGAGTTATTACCTCTAGGAACAATGAGATCAGCGTGAACAACTGTAGGTGCGATGTAATAATCAAAGGCTGGTTTTACAAATTTCTCATATTGTTTTAATACACCTTCCAAGTCTCGACCTCTTTCCATGATGTCACGTTGCAGCCGTCTCGCCAAACGAATATCTGAATCAGTTTCTATAAACACTTTCATGTCCATCATCTATAAACACAATGGATTTCTTAAATTTCATTCCATCCATTTTTTATGCTAATAACACTAAATTAATAAATAAGAATCAATTATAACTAAAATAACATCAACTAATTCTATATTCAACAAGAAATTTTCCGTGTTTTTAGCTTAAACAATTCTGAGAAACATTGCTAATTATTCAGTATAAATAAAGAAAAGAAATTCAATGCAAACAAGAAAAAAAGTAGAGATAGCAACAAAACTATTTCTCAAGCGATTTTTAAGAACAATAATTTTATTACTATTATACTTAAGAAATATTTACTACTCTCATAAATTGCATACACATACCTTTTTTACCTTTTATACTTTCATCACACTGACAATTAAAAGATTCTATTTTCATTATTAACAGTTTATTTCTTATTAAATTAGTTATAATCTAGCAAAAGAAAATTAATGATACAAAAGGAATTGTATTCTGTATTTGCCTTAGTAATATTTTCTCACTGAAATGGCAATTACAAAATATATTTTAAAAGATCATAAGGAATTTATATTTATCTATATCAAATATTTTTCTGCATAATTCTTTTTTCATTGAATATAATATTTATTGAATAAATGTCAAATATAACATACATATCTTTTAAAATTGCTGATATTTTGTTTAATTTTTAGTATTCAATGGTTTTATGAACTGTAATAAATGTAATAGACAAAATTTAACGTATCAAACATTTAAAACAGTTCACAGATGTTTTTTTTTCTTTTTCAACAAACAAATGTTGCAGAAAATAAATATAAATGAAATATCTTACTTCGACTAGTTGTTTGTTGGCAAAAATAAGTATTCCTTCAAATATGATAACATTAGCACCATACATTGTTTTCTGAAACATAAATAAAGAAAACCTTAATTAGATAATGTAACACAGTTATACATAAAAAATCAACTAAATATTTAATATTAAATAATGCCAACTTAAAGTCTGATTAATTTAATGGTGGAAAACCAACTAAATACACTAATTTACAGAATTATATAAAGTAGATAAGCATGCTAGGATATTTCTACAATACATTTTATAAATATATTAGATAATTTTATGCTGTTTGATTTTAATTGACATATTAGTTTGCAGAGTGCACCAGTACCTTTTTTTACTAACATATCTATTGTAACTGGGATTTATTCTATACCCTAAAAATTGTTAATGAATTCATGATTATTCCAATATCCCTTATTTTTTTAATCATCTGGAAATTTCTGATAATTTCGATTTCAAATAATTTCATCTTCTTTTTACACTAACCCACTTCTCCCGTCTACCACTTTTAGGCTTTGTAGTGGATTGAAGAAAAAATCAGGACATTGCTTTAAAAAAAAAATCAGGACAATTTATGGAAACATATACTTAAGAGAGTTCAGAAAACATAGATATCAAATTTATAATAAACTTTTAAATGCATTTAATTATGTTCGCTGTCTGTGTTAAATACTTTTTAGATATTTTTAAATGAATGCACGAGTAATTAAATATCAACATAAAAATTTAAAGTACAGAAACATTATTATAAGAAACAACTTATGAATACTTAATAAATAAAGCAAAAGTTAGACAATACTTCCAATAAGATTTAACATTTGAAATATTAACAAGAAATAGAGGAAAAAAGGTTAATAACTGTTTTTAAAAAAAACTTAATGTATAAATTTTTAAGAATAAAAAGATTAATTTCATAAATACCATTCTTTTCTCTCTGGAATGTGACACAAAATTATAGATAGGAACATCTACGCTTTTTCCTTCTTTTAACTTCCTTACAGTTTCAATCAGAAGATCGAAATCAAAAGCATCAGGGTGATCAAAATTATAATTATTTTGTTTGGCTAATTTATGTTTTTCTTCATCTAAAACCTGAAATAACATTCATAATTAAATGCACCATTTGAAAAAAAGAAGATGTTTCTAAAAATTTATAAAGCTAAATCAAAACACTGAGTTGAGCATGCTTTTTATCCATTTATTTTTTATTCATTTATGAAGAGATTTGATTGAATATCAAATAAGTATAGTCATTAATAAAGTTTATTGACATGGGTGCAGTACTATAAAACAAGTTTAAAGACAAAAATTTTAATAAATAAAGTTAGTTAGTCAAACTAATAATAAAAAGGGAAGTACATAGCAGAAAAATTGAATGATTGTTGGAAGAAAAAAAAAAGAGTTTACAAAATGGTAATAAAATTATGATTAAAGTAAAAAGAATTTTCTAAAAATTGTGCTACTTTGCATAGACTTAAAAACATAACTGTCTAAATAATAAATTTTATTAATATATATTTGAATCATTGATTTGTCATGGTGAATAAAACAATTTTTTAAACAACTGAAAATAAGAGATGTTACAATTTTAAAAATATTTTACTCAGAAACCATACACAGGTTGATAGGTAATATACAAGTCATAGTTAGCCTTAAAAATCGTTCAAATTTTTTTCAATCAATGGATAGGTGAATAAAGAAAACCAATGCGAATCAAGCCCAAATAAAGACACAAAAATGGACAGACTATAATAACAATTTTGAAAACAAGAATCTTCCTAAGTGCTAATCACAAAATGATAAGTATGAGACAAATACGTTGCAGGATAAATAGTGGTAAGAAACATTTGGAGGAAGGCTCTAGGGAAGGCTCTGGCCCACAATGGGCTGTTACAACCAATCGAAAAAGAAACCAATAAATTAAAAAAAAATCAAGAAATTTTGCTTATTATTTTCTCTTGTCATTTTGTGTTTTGATACAGAGGTTCTAGTTATCGATCTGAAACTATTGTGTCTCTATTTTTATGCGTTTTTATGCTGTATTCAAGATTAGCTTCATTTCGATGCAGCAGAAAGTATACACTATCTTAATTTTGAGTTAGATTACTTAGAACACTAGACAGAAAATTTAAACAAAATGCTTCAGTGCAGTGTTTTTTTTTCCTTTTCTAAATCAGCATGAAAAATTTTTTAAAAATTATAAAAAAAACCAGTCAGCTGAGCAAGACATTAAAACCCTTAAAGCTAGTATTGTCAATTAAGAATTTTCCCTGAGAATAGGACCTAAGAAAACAAGAGAAGACTCAAGAATTTTCATTTATTTTAAGCTTTTTTTCATTTTGGGATGATAATGGTGTTATTTAAATGAAGTAGAAGTATAATTAACAAATCAGAACATTAAAAGCAGGGCTCATTCATAATATTTTTATTGTGTTAAATATTAATGTTAATGCTAAATATAGTCTTTTTTCACCCAGTTTCTTTGCGTTAAATTTTTTCAGTAAAGTTCTGCACTATTCTTTAAATGATTAATACTTTGATTAATTTTCCTTTTCCTATCCATTAGCAGGAGAATTTAAGGACTTTACTAATTCATTTCAGATACATCTTAGACTGAAATAACATTATTAAAAAAAATGACATTTAATTTTATCATCAAAATTGACATTAAATTTTATTCATTTTGCCTAATTTTCATATATGCAAAATGAGCAAAACATTTGGAAATAATTTTATTTACCAAATAACTTTTTGAAGGGTTTTTTTCCAACACCAATTACACTTTTGTAAACAAAATAATTGTTATATCACATAATGTTATGCTGTGAAGAAATAATAATAAATAGATTGTTTGTATTAAACTTAAAACTTAGAATATTTATTTTAAATAAATTCTTTGTAAACTTTCTTCCAATGTTGCAAATAATTTTCTTGAAACATTTAATCAGATTCTCATCATAAGCTCATAAAAAATTTAAAAGTTAACAACTGATAGTTTATATACTATAGTTCTACAGGTTTTTTTTTTCTTTTTTTCTTCCAAGTATAAAATAGTTCTAAATACTGAATATTATTTAGATATAATAATATATTAGAAAATACAAATTTTTAATGCCTAAAATATTTTTTAAATTCTAATTTTCATTTTAGCAAGTTTAATAACTAAAAAATATGTATTGGTGTAAAGTTGGCAATACTTGCATTCAAGTTATTTTAAGTATAGCTACAGCGACAGAAATTTTTTTTTAGTACAGTGATAACCACTGATAAAATCATTTGCTTTTTAAAATAAAATCTGCGAAAACTGAATCATTTCAATATCAAAACATGCTAAAACTATCTTTTTATAAAATCATTATCACTGTTTTGTAAAATCAAATTTTTATAGCATAGGTTTAAACTCAATAAAAACTCAGCTCTGAACAATTATACTAAATATTCTCAAGTTTTGAAAGCATACGAATGACAAATGTCATTCATATGCTCATTTATATACACCCTATGAACAAAATGTGCGGGTGTGAAATTGAGGAGCTATTGAAGGTTAAGAGTTAAAAATTTGTGGATTTGCATGTAAAGGAGAACAAATAAAAACTGTCTTTGAATTAAGAAAAGTAATGAAATATCTATCCTCATTCAATGTCAATGATCCTTCAATACGCTAAATCTATCTTTAATAGATGACCGAAAACTGCTTGATATTTTTAAAATTAAATTTACAATGAAAACAAGGAAATATTGGAAGTTACTAAAACTTTTCTAAACTTACAAACCATGCTAAATCTTTAATTTTAAAGTTAGATGATCAAACAAATATACACTAATATTGCATATGCTAATATAATGTCTTATAACCCTGCTGCTTTTACAATAATAAAGTCAGCATCACAAAACTGAATCATTATAGCATAAAACTATAGAAAAATCCATCAGCATTAGAGCTTGTTTGCTCAAAAGGTAATTTTTTTAAGTGATTGAAAATAATGTTCAAATACTATTGATAAATTTTTGAAATGGACAATTATTTAAAAAAGATAACATAGCTCCATTTCTTTTTTTTTCAAAATAAAATATGTAAAATATTTGAAATAAAATTAAAAAAAACATGCACACGATAAAAGAAACATTTGAATATTGAAAACAATTAACAACAAATTATTAATCAAAAATACTCAGAATAAAATGTACAGAAAAAATACTATGTATAAAATTTCACAAACAGCAGAATTTAAAAGTATTGAAGGAAAAAACAATAAAAAATATACAGCGAATGATTTTGTTAAAAATTGCATTAAATAAAATTCAATCTAATAAGTTAAAGTAATTTTTTGCTTATAGCATTAGATGCCATTTAATTTATTTATTTTTGCAAATTCATACAGGAAGTAAAACTAAAATAAAATAAAATTCAAATCTAATAAGTTAAAGTAATTTGTTACCTATAACATTAGATACCATTTAATTCATTTATTTTTGAACAGTCATACAGGAAGTAAAACTAAAATAAAATAAAATTCAAAACTAATAAGTTAAAATAATTTGTTACCTATAACATTAGATACTATTTAATTTATTTATTTATGAAAAATTCATACAGAAAGTAAAAGTAAAAGAAGAAAATAAAATTCAAATCTAATAAGTTAAAGTAATTTGTTACTTATAACATTAGATACTATTTAATTTATTTATTTTCGCAAATTCATACAGGAAGTAAAACTAAAAGAAGAAAATAAAATTTGAATCTAATAAGTTAAAGTAATTTGTTACTTATAACATTAGATATACCATTTAATTTATTTATGTTCGCAAATTCATACAGGAAGTAAAACTAAAAGAAAGAAGAAAAACACATTACACTTAAGACTATTATACAGATTTTTATCATTAAGAAAGGAAAGTACAAAAAAAATTGCTTTAACTCATTTTTTAAAAAATATCATATTAAGCTAATCTGGTTATTTTAAACAGTTGATAAAAAAAAGAAGTTATAGTGCAAGTTAATGTTTTAAATATCACAATATTAAATGCATCTCACTTTATAAAATGAATCCATACTGAGAAGCGTAACCCAGGGTACATCTAAAGCTTCTATAACTTTACGTGCAACTGTGGTTTTACCTGAAGCGCTGCCTCCACAAATACCTACAAATAAATATAATGAGCTTTAATATATTTATTATGATAAAAATTATTTGCAATCAAGACATTAGCTAAAATTCAAAGAAAAATATATTAATTTATCAGTACAAATTATTTGATTTGATAATACAGTCGGACCTCTTTATCATGAATCTCAGACAAAAAATTTGAGATAAAGAGGTTTCGAGTTATACAGGCTAATTTTAAAAATTTAATTTAATTAAAAAATTTGATTAAAAGTGCTTTAATTGTTTTTAGTAGAAAAATATAGCCATTTCTGTAAAATAATTATACCACATATATCTAAGTAATTTATTTTTTTAAACATATCTTTAACACTGAAAATAATCTTTTTAAAGATTTTTGACGTCCAACCTTCCTTCCTTGTTTGGGCATTTGTGCTCGATTATTAGAAATTCAAGAAACAAGTTTTGAACAAAAAAATTTAGAGATAGACATAGAAAATACATTGATTTTAGATAGGAAATGTAAAGAATTTTAACAATTTTGAGATAAAGAGGTTTCAGACAAACAGGTTCAACTGTAATATGCACATGAATAAAACATAAATAAAAACTAAAACTTTCATCTCAAATTCTGAATGGGGGAATATCGGAAATACTTTAAAGAATTACCTAAAAAAAATCAAAGTAATTTTTTCAATTTTGCTTGCTTATGCATCTTAAATGATCATCTACTTTAGAACAATACAATGAGATTGATACAAAGCTCACCCAAAAAATTTTTGTTAAAGTGCTAAACCTCCAATAGAAATCCAGAATTATCGCACATAAATACTAGAAAACACTTACCAAGAAATTCTACAATTTTTAAAAATTTTATGCTAATAGTTCATAAACCTTTTAATAAAACTTTATTAATTTCAAAATATGCATTATTTGATCCATAACAATAAGAGATGCAACCTTAGAAAACAGTAACTTCCCTGAAGTTGTAAAAATATACCCTCCATCTTACATTTACGAACATGCAATATTTATTATTCATTATTTTGTAAAACATAAAGCTTTGATATAAAAGAGAAAACCACAACAAATTATGGATTTCTTTCATAATCTTTAAATAAAACTTTCCCATGAAAGTAAAGATAACTAATTGTATTAATGAGCTAAGATTCAATGTTTTATTTAAAGTTTTAACTGCAAACAACATTTAAGTAGATTCAGCTTTTGAAACCCAAATTTCATAGTACGCCAAAGAAAAATATCTGGACAAAAATCCAGACATGTTTTGGAACAGTATACCAAACTACTTTTTAAAAAAGCAGACAAACTAAAAAAAAATAATAATATATAATAAACTCTAGATAATTATAATAAAGGAAAATTTCAATACATAAGGATATTAATAAACACTATTTGTAATTTTGGATTTTTTTGACACAAAAAGTTATAACAGTTATAAGTATAATTTTATGAAAAGAGCACGGGATAAGTCCTAATAAAACAAATAGAAAGTTTTCAACTCTAAACAACTCTAACAAGAAAGTTTTCCCTTTAAAAGTAGTAAGACACAGTCATTAAATCAATCCAAAGCAGAAAAAACTTGTTAACATAAATGCAGTTCATAAAATTTCTAAAACAAATTTTAATAACAATTAATGAGTTCACGATTTAATGATAATGTATTTTTAATTTCAACGAAATAAAATCAAAATTAAAACATGAATGCATGAAATAATAGGTTACCAGTATGGACAAGATCAAACAAAAAATAAATTACATGAAACAAAAACACTTATTACAGTGATCTGTCTAAGCCAAATTTACTACCGTTTAGCGACCTTCACAAAGTCAACTTTAGGAAAAACAGTAGTTTCACAAAATACTTTTTCTTAAAATTATATTTTTGTATCCCGTAAGAAACAATAAATCCATATTTCTGTGTTGATTTTTTAATATAATTTTTAATTTTCGCAAAATTATATCTAAATTTTCACAAAATAGGTACCTCTCAGAAAAACCTAGACAGACCCCTGCATCATATTAGCTAAAATATAAAAAAATTTTACCAAATAAAATGAACATTTCTTCCTACAAACAAAACAGAAAGAAATCAAAGAAAATTCACACTTCTTACATCATCAGGGGTCTGTCTAGGTTTTTCTGAGAGGTACCTATTTACCTAGACATACTTTGCGAAAATTAAAAATTATATTAAAAAATCAACACAAAAATATGGTAAAAATATGAATTTATCGTTTCTTATAGGCAACAAAAAAAAATTTAAGAAAAACTATTTTGTGAAACTACCATTTTTCCTAAAGTTGAATTTGTGAAGGTACCGCTAAACGGTAAAAAATTTGGCTTGGACAGAACCCTGATCATACACAAATGAAGAGAGAAAAAAAATACAAACCTATTACAAAAGGTTCAACAAGCTGTCCATGAGTGTCATACCAAGGTGGTCTTCCAGCCGTATAAATTGTTCTTTGCCTTGTTCTGAGAACAGGTTCTCGGGTGGCAGATTTTGAAGATGACCAGGTTCGCTCCCTTTTCTTTCGATGAGGAGAAGCGAGGGGGGAGCAACCAGGAGATCTGGGTGAAGACTGTACTTCGTTGTCCGCAGACACATCTTCAAAATTCAGCTCATCACCACTGCCACTGTAATTAAATTGTATCATCATTTAAAAATTATAATTTGAAAAATATATTGTTTAATACAAAACAATGTGAATAAAGTATAAACAAAGGTATAAAAGAGACATAATAATAGTGAATTTTTTCATATTTTAAAATATGCATATTTTAGTCATATTTGTATTTGCAAATATATTTTGCATATATATTTGCATATTCTAAAAGCATAAAACCCAGCTTTTAAAGAAAAAATCAAGCAGTTCTAATAATTATTGTTGAAATAACTTTTGGAATCATTTACATTCACTCTAATTTTTATTATATTTCATACATTAAAAAAACTTTTAAAAAATAAAAATTAGGTGCCACAGATGTAACACACTATGTGACATATGCAATCGGTTTTAGTTGTTCAAAAAAAAATTTCAATTCTAAAAATTAATACAAATTAGAGAAAATGTCACCCATTTTCTTATAACTTACGGTTCTATGAACAAGAACCTTTCTCACTGTTTTATTTCTATTCAAATGTTTAAAAAAAAAACTATTAATTATTTTTAGAAGTACAATCAGCAATAAAAGAAGTTTTACTCCAAAAAGAAGAAATAAGAGTAAATTTAAGTAAACATATGTGGTTAATGGAATTTAATATTGAATAAATAATAAACTGAGGAATTCTAATTTTATCATGTATTCAAGAATTTCACTTTGTTATAAAAAGTTACAATTCAGTAAATGTAAATAATTATTTATTTATTTTATTTACTTATTTTTTTTTTTTGCCATAATTTTCCACTATTTTNTTTTTAATTTTATTTTTTTTTTTTTTTTTTTGAATTTACCACATTAAATTCAGGAGTTACATTCTTGATTACCTTTAAACAATAATATTAATAACAGAAATAAAAATGTATATACTTGGGAAATATATTTAGATAACAGTTAACACAATATAAATTAGAAAACCTCTTTGATTAAAAGTTAACATGATGAAAATATGAATTTATAATTCTATGAATCTAATGCTAGATTATATATTTGAATAAATCAGTAGTAAAATATATCTCCGTTCTTATTTTTTTGAGCTGTAGGTTTTATTACAGTTGACTGAAATCATTTTAAAATATTTTCATAACAATATAACAGACAAATCTGGTAAAAACATAAATATAACAAGCAAAACAATGTCCATTTCTACCTTGAATGGCGATTAAATAAAATAGAAAAATTAACGTTGAAAAATTCTTCTTTATCCATCAGAATGTACTGTTTTTACAGACATCAATAATAAGAAAACAATATAATTTTGTGAAAATAATAATAACCACGTGGCCAATAATTATTATTGCTCATATTATTACGATGATTAAATGAAATTTAAAGAAACGAATGAGATTTAATGTTAGAGATGTTAAACATAAACATCGTAACAAAGAATAACTTGAAATAAAAAGAGCTATGAAGCGAAAATATATTTTTAAAACATGCAAGTCTTTGTTTTGCGGACGATGTTAATCAAAATATTATGAAGCTGATAAAGAAAATAAATATTAAACGACTTCCGGCAACAGCTGGATGAGTATCTCAATATATTTCATGGAACCGATACTATTGCAATACACATTACTTACATTATTTTCATCTTACAAATTGTATACAATATTAATTATGCACACACAACTACCATACGTAAAACGCTCCTCCAATTTTAACCAATCACGTTCAAGGAAATTACGGAGGTCAGTGTAGCAATGGGGGTATTGAGTAATGAATATGTTTTCTATAGTGAACTCATGGCCATGTTTTCTTAAAAAACCGTTTCTTGTAAATGAAAAAAAATTGCCGGTAAGACATAGGATATGACGTACCTATCCGAGCTGGCAGAACTGGGTTGATCATCAAAATAGACACTCGCCATGTTCGTTAAAAACATCACAAAAGAGAGCGCTCCCTACAATTTTAGTAACGAAAGTGCGTTTTTTCGATGCGTAATGAAACGAATTATTTTTTTTTTAAATTTCAAACCCTTCTTTATTTATAAGGTGTTTTTAATGGATTTTGGAATATTTTTTTAGAATAAAATAGCATGCTAATTTGATTTGTTTATAAGAAGTTTTGCCCTCACTGTACTGCATAGCACCAATATCTCAAATTTCATTGATATCGCTGCAAGAAAAAGAAGATAAACGTTTTACGTCATTGAAGTAGAATCTAAAAATAAGTAATAATTTACAATAACCCTTTTTGCTTTTCGCAAATTTTAGGCTAAAAAAAATGGAAAAAAAAACATGCCATAAATATTTAAATAATATTACTGTAGCAATTTATAGAGAAATAAATTGCTTCATTTGTTTTCCTTTAAAGAATTTAGAGATTTAAAGATTAGTTAAGCGTTTTGAAAAGTATTCATTAAACGAAAAAAAAAAATTAATGTTAAAACCATCATTTTTTATTCCACATCAAAACATTTTATCGTGAACGGAGATAATAAATGTTTTTTTTTTATCAATTACACCTACAAAAAACAAAACAAAAATATATACCATATATTTTTAATTTGTAACTTAGTAAAGAGAATTGCTATTCCAACAAATTATCTTACAATAGAAAATTCGATAAACTTAAAAAAAATTCGAATTTTTTTTCCTTTAGATTATTAAGTAGGTCAGACTTCTTTAACATGCTTTTCTTAATTTTCTGTGTATATATATACACACATATATTATATATATATCCGTTACACGTGAACTTAAAGGGCAGAAATTAAGAATTCAAAAGTTCTAGAAGATTTTCCAACAATTGACCTAAATACTTGAAATGAAAAGGAGAATTTCAAATTTTCGCCCATGAAGAGGGGGTAATGATGAAATTTTTTATAAACTTTCCAAAATAATTTACTAAGTGTCATTTTGAACTTAGATATTTTCTTTTTATTAAAATTTCATCTTCATTTTGAATCTTATATGAACTGATTTGGGGATATTTTTTTCTTCAATTTTTTTATAAAAAAAGAAAGTTATATTATTTATCTAAGTGTGGACAAGTTCAAGTCCTTAAATTAATTACTTAATTTTGTCTATTGGTTCTCATAAAAAAAGCAAGTACAAAATCAAAACGGATCAAATTTTAAAGTACAAAAATAAGTACATTCATGTTGTATTAATCAATGTTTACTTCAATTATTGTTAGCCACTTAAATACTATGTTATTATGAAAGACTGAAAAGATTAGAGAACATGGCTGCAAAACTTCTGACGTGAGTGACGAAAATTGATAGTTTTACTATTATTTTTTGATATAACTTCAGTTACACGGCTTCAACTTTGACTAAACTAAATTAACACAAAAATTAACGACCGCGTCAATAATATTTTCCCATTTGAATGTTTTTAACACTAGAAAGACTGAAACTTAATCTATACCTATATTGCCCAAGAGCAGTCAAAATGACTGGATTGTAAAAGAATAAATAATCTGTAAAAAAATTTGTTTAAAATTAATTTTTAATATTTTTTTATACTATTTACAGTTATAAAACAAGTTATTAGTAAATATTGACAATAAAAAAATTATATGTTGTACAAAATTCTACGAAATTGTGTCATTATATACATCATTGTTTTTCTAATTGAAATAAAACGTAGTCAAAATGACTTCCTTAAGCAATCCAGTGTTAAGCATTTTATCAACAAATATGAAAAACTTCCTATTAGATACATACAATAGATATGTATCTAATATAATACAATAGATATATATCGGTTATGGAAGTGGTAAGCACACACAACAAAAATTATCTGAAATACTGAATCGGCAATATTTTTTTAAAATTTTTATTTTATTTTAATATAGATTTTTAAAAAAAAATAGCAGGTGTCCTGCGTGCTTTCAATAATAAATGTTAATAAATTACATGAATTAACGCTAAGGGCTTTTGGTGTAGTCAACCTCTCATCATATTTGGTTAGACAGCCCAGGGTGGGTCAGTGCCTTCCTTTGAATTCGAATCCACTTCTCTCTACTTTTGACACTTGTTCGCCAGTTTTTCTCCTTTAGAGTAAGGAAATCAGTCTCAACTAAATCCAGCCATCTCAGCCTGGGTCTACCTCTTTTCCTGTTCGTTAGGGATTTGTGTAATAGGATTTTCTTTAAATTTGAGTCATCATTCCTTCTGAAAATGTGAGCTGCCCAGTTCATTCGATTTATTTTTATGAATTTCACAATATCTGGCTCTCTGTAGATTTTATACAGTTCAGTATTATATCGTCTTCTCCAGGAATTATTTATTTTTATCCCACCAAGGATGGCCCTCAAAACTTTTCTCTCAAAAATGGCAATTTTATTTTCACCAGCTTGAGTTAGGTTCCAGGTCTCAGAGCCATAGGTAAGTATTGGCCTAATTAATGTTTTATGGAGTAAAAGTTTCGTATTTTTTGATAAAAGAGAGGATTTGAAAAAACGTTTTAAATGATAAAAAACTATATTAAACAAATGTAGTCAACCTCTTACTGCCCTTAATTGCTTCTGTCGTACATTGACGAAATGTTTGAGTAACTATCAACTCATAAAGTTTGAATTCCCACCTATTAAGTTTACCTAATTACACCACAATGAACTGCATTCAACAGGGGGATAAAACCTAACCTAAATTCAAATATAAACCATAAAGTTAAATGAACTAATTTTCTTTTAACAATGAGCATTAAACGTAACTTATTTATTAAATTATATAGTTATAATTACGTTGATAGAATAACATAATTTTGTTTAAAAAATTCCTGTTTTAATTTTCTTTAATTTTGTTAATTATTATTATTCTCATTTGCGTTTAGAATTAAAAAGCGATAATTTAATCACATTTCACTTTGCGTTTCCAGCAACAAACAGTTACTGGTCAAGGGGGTCAAGAACGTTTCGGCTCTTTTATTGATCGGCATGATGGTAACCATTGCGCAGCCACTATCCTTATTCTCCACATCCAGACAAGCTAGTACCCATCGATCTGACACTGAATGGGCTTCAAGGTTCCACCGGGGTTCGAATCCTGACTTGTCACTGACCACCTCCACCACTGAGCGATCGTGGTCGTGGATCTTTCTATTACATGAAAGTTAAAGTTATAATATGTGAAATAAAGTTCTGACTTTACAACGAAAAAGCACATTATACGGCCTTTTTTATTTACTCGCTAGGGTGGAATCTTGCAATCAAGATTTCGTCCATTTTTCGTCTAACAAGAGCTCCATGCCTGATGCCAATGTAAGCTTCAGTCATTCTCTGACAGCTTCAAACAGAATTTATCGCCATTTTATTTACCATATAGAACATATTGTAAATCAAAATTACGTCCGCTTTCCAATTAACTGGATAGCTAAAATCGGAGCTTTATTAAAATATAAGATTCACTTACTACCTGAATGGAACTAGCAAAATTTATCGCCAATCGAAATTTTACCCACTTTCTGACAGGAAAAGAAAGGAAAAAAAGAAAAGCATAATTTACAGACACAAAACTAAAAAGAAGTAAATAAAATTTACAAAAATATTTCAAAAACTACGTTTATCAAATAGATGTAAAAGAAAATAATAATTTAATTTTTGTCAGACTTAAAATTAAAAATGTAAGGCACATCACTTTCATAATAACCATGTATCACCACCGAAAGTTTCCCCACGTCGTTCGAAAATAATGTAGTCCCAACTTTTTTCATTTAGGTCAAGCAAAAAAAAATTTCTTAGAAATCATTTACTCCCTTAAGTCTTCTTCGAAAACGAAGTTTTCGAACTTTTCTTTTATTTTTTCATTTATTTATTTATTTTATGCACTACTTTTCTCTTTAAACTATAGTAACTAAAAATTTCAGAATTTTATTTTATCACACAAAACTGAAAATAGTATAATTTTCGGAAGAAAAAAAAAAATCCTAATATGAAATTTTTTTTATTGTAAAAAAAATTTCACATTAGGATTTATTTTTTTTTTCTCACTTTGAAACGGTTGAAACAGTTTTCAATCAATTGATTATGAGATCTCTAGGAAGGAAAAAGGTTTCTTAAAATTAGCGACTTACAGAAATTAAAATTTTATTCAAAATAGCAAATTTTAGAAAGAAGTTGATAAAGAATGTCAGTGACTCTTCAAAATAAAAATGGAAAAAAAAGGGCTAAGCAAATGGAACTTACCAATTTCTCGAATACATTTAACTTCCTTTACACCTACATTTTTGAATTCCTATGATTTAGGAACAATTGTTTCTACAAATCTTTTTTCTTCACATTCATGTAATGCATTACAAATCTCTATTATGTAGAGGGGGGGGGTGTTGTTTGACCTATAAATGCATGACTTTAACCAGTCACGAGTAAGTCAATAAGACGCATTTCTTCCTTTTTCCTTTTCTTCCAAAACCTTGAAAGAAACACTCAAGTGGATCTGTGGGTTTATTTTATTGTTTTCTTTTTGTTCTTTATCCGACATAGTTGTTATTTTGTTCTTAATTAGTGAAAGTTAATGAGACTATTAATGTTAGAAGCATTTAAGACAGTCATCTTTTTCTTCGAAACGCATCATTTCAGTTGTTGTATAAAGTATGAAAGTCGCGGCGAAGATTAAAGAGGAATAAAGATCTTATATTTATTAGAACTCATAAAAAAGGAAAACGATTAACTCAATTTATTATAAATACTATGAATACCTAAAAAACATTCACTTGTCCTATTTTTAAAACGAGTAAGCATTATGACGCAATGGTGAATAAAATATTGGGAATGATTTTAATTAAAAATAAATGTTAAATTATGAAATCATTTTATTTCATTTCGCCAAATTTTTTAATCCTAATTAATTTAGACCAAAAGGTTTTCCAGTCTCAAAATTTTTTTCTTTAAAAAAAAATTTATGAAATAAAAATTTTAAAAGCAGTATTTTTCAATATGACTAAAAAATTTATATCTAATTTATCGTCGTCTTCTGACTGCCCGTTAAACAGGATGCCTGGGGCAGTTGAACCTACCCTCATTTCTCTAAGCAGTTCATAGATATAAAGGCAGTTGAAGATAGATATAAAGGCAGTCCCTGAAGCAGTTGAAGCCACAAATCACACATATAAAATCCACTTGGAGCATCTCAATTGCTATAGTTTTTTTACCTTTCCTTTTCTTTATTTTTGTTTATTAATTAATTTATTTTTGTTTATCTCACATCTCATCTTGTCTTTAGAATAAAAATTGTTTACTTACCGTAAGATAAGACGGGAAGATTTCATTTTCATAAGGTGCGTGCAACACATTGTAATAAGTTACATTGCAGTGATTGTTAAGCGTTTTACAAAGTTTTACTTTATTTACACCAGCAGATATATTTCTCCTAAGAGTACGAACATAAAAGTGACAAATGTTCGTCAGAGCGAAACTGAAAGTAATGATTTTCCAAAACGAAATCGAATCTTTCATTTCTAAATGGTGATATCATTTATCAAAGTTCACACCTAACAATAACAAATTGTTGTGCTCGTATAAATGTGCGATGCGTATAAATTTAGAAAGAAAGTGAACGACCATTTTAAAGGCTCCTATTACAAGGTTAAATTCATGAGTTTTTTTTTTTTTTTTTTTTTTTTTTTTTTTTNTTTTTTTTTTTTTTTTTTTTTTTCGAAGAAAAAAAAAATTACGGACAAGACAGGGCAATGCCCAGTTTTGAACGTGACAGGTGGCTAGTCTCCCTCCAATATAGCATTAGTAATTTTTATTACGCATTTCCATTCACAATTTTTACGAAAAATTGTACGCGTGTTTTTAGATAATATTCATTATTTCATTTAACATTAATCTTTATTTATATTTAAATTTAATCTTTAGCATTTTATTTAAACTTTATTCGTTTTATATGCTATTTTAAATTTAAAATGAATTTATTTATTTGTTTTTTTTATTTATTGATTTAATTTTTTTTAATTTAAAATTTAACTTTATCGTTTGTTTTTCCTTCTTTTTTAAAATTGCCTGTTCTATATTAAGTTTATTTTACTTAAGAGAATTCATTCACTGAGAAAATTGTTAAAATTAGCATTCAAATTTGTCTCAATCTTCAAATTGTAGCTGTTGAATAATCTTTAATTAAACAGAGTTTTACGTGACTTAGTCTATTTTATTTATTTAAAATTATAATTCTAAGTTAAGGAAAAAAACAAAAATTTTTGCAAACGATTCTAAAAATGTTGCAATTTCAGAATTTTTTTTCTTCCACTTTCTAAACTTTAGCTCACGAATAACTTTTGCTTATGAATACATTGCAAGCTTGATACTTTCAAATACTTCATGGAATTTAAATTTTAGACCTGTATTATTTGTGTATTTATTGTAGTATATGCAAAATTTAAAGGTTAACTTTTACTGCAGATCAAGCGGAGAAGAGTTGGATAGATGGTTGGTCTTTTATGGTATAGATGGTACTTATTTTAAGCTTCCTTTTCGGTGTTAACTAATTGAGTACTTGCACTTCAAGAAGACCAACTCCCATACCCACTCATGTGTCCTATGACGTCAGAGAATGCTAATCTTTAGTAGCAAAATGGCTTATTAAAGTTGAGCTATGTTCCTCTACATAATTTAGAATGTTAATTAACGATAAGTTAATACAGAGCCGTATCGCACATCGAATTAGTTGAAATATAATTCTTTCTCCTCTACTTCTTTTTCTTAACTTATATTTACTAGGTGTTTATGTATTTTATTGTGACCGTGATATGTTTTTGTTTTGTGTACCAGGCATGGCAACTTCGATTCATAATTAGTTTGTTTATGTTCCACATGGCTTCGTGCCTGTCCTTATGTTAAGCCTCTGTGTAAATATGTAGTGAAATAATTGAAATCGTTGAGAAAGAATCTTTGTGAAAGAATTTAGAATGTGTCACATGAGAAAATTGATACTTGATGGACTCGGTTTACTCGAAATAAAAGGGAAAGAACAGTTGCTAACGTAAACAAATGCCACGTTTCAACAGCCAATTGGGATCAAGATACCCACACTACGTCACTAGCAGGCATCCCATTGTGAGAAGAATGATATATTTCTTCTGTAAAAAGGAATTTTACATTGTGATTCGTTTTTGATTTTCTTTTAATTTTTCAACAAGCAATACGAAAAATGAAACAAGTCTTTTTCCGTCTTATTTTAAAAGTGTTTCTCAACTGAACTTTTTTTTTCATTGAATTATACCATAATAGTTTTATTTTTCCTTTTTTTTCGTATGAATTTTGTTTGAACTCACGAATGTGAACGATCCTTCATAATCATTTTTCCCCCGAAAAATGTTCTTTCGCCCTAATGACAAATCCCTCGAACAAGGCTAAAAGGAAACGGTTAACTTCTACAACCACAGAAAACTATCTAAAGAGTTTCCAGTCTAATGCTAGACCGTGTTAAAAAGCGATGTATTTTATTTTTTATTTTTAATTTTATTATTATTTTAAAAGTGATGCAAAATGGTAATGCTTTCCAACCAAATCGGTGCGCGCCTATCTGAGGAAATAAGTTTAACTACTAGTGAGAACACGATGTTATCGTTTTCTTTCTAATTTTTTAAATGGATACCTGCAAGTCGTAGGTAAATGGTAGCATTTGTCGATTCAGAAGCCTATCAAGTTCGACACGCACATATGACGTCGCTTACAGGTATCTAATTAAATTTGATCCATTGATTGAATGATAAAAATATATAAGTAAGTTTAACCTCTGGCTCGAACATCTCTATAAAATGGACTAAAAATAACTGAATGAAGTTTAATTAGACTAAGAGAGCTATAATAAAAACATTTATTAATGGCAATGTATCTTATGATTCCAATTAAAGCAAAACCAATATTCGTGCGTGAAATTATTTTGAAAATTCAAGAATACACACAGAATTTAGCTTAAAATATGAGTCGAAAACTTGTATCGCAGTATGCCGTTTACAGGAAAAAACTTGTAACTATTGGTGATGGTGGATGTGGTAAAACATGTCTTCTGTCAGTATTTAGTAAAGACTTTTTCCCAGATGCGTATATTCCAACTGTCTTTGAAAATTATGTTTCTGAACTCGAAGTAGATAACAAAAAGGTTGAATTGTCATTGTGGGACACAGCTGGTCAAGAGGATTACGATAAATTGAGACCTTTATCTTATCCCGACACCGATGTCATTCTCATCTGCTTTGGCATTGATAATTTTGTTAGTTTGGAGAATACCCATAACAAATGGTATCCAGAAATCAGACATTTTTGTCCACATGTCCCAATAATTTTAGTTGGCAACAAGTTAGATCTCAGAAATGGAGTACATTATAATACTGGTGATATGGCAACTATTTTTGAACAAGTGAGTTTTGATCAAGGTTTTGAGGTAGCTGAAAAAATACAAGCGTATGGTTACGTGGAATGCTCGGCTAAAACAAAAGAAGGTGTAAGAGATGTTTTTGAATTTGCTGCAAGGGCTACGCTTGATATGAAGGAGAAAAAGAAAACCTCTTGCTCTTTGTTATAAAGTTTTAAAAAAACAATTGTTCAAACCTGTCTTAGAAATGTGACAATTCGTTATTTTTGTTCAAAATTCACATGAAGTTATATTCAGCGTTATTTTATTCTCCGTAATAGTATCAATTCCAAGTAACTGAAGTGAAACGATTTCTTTGAAATGCAAACACTTCACTTGATTCATAAAATATGAAAGTGAAAACGTCAATATTTTCGAGCGCTCAAGAATAGACTCCCATTCTGAAGATTCATCAGGCGTGAAACATCTGGTTATACCATTCTCCAAACTCACTAAATGTAAATTTAGTAGTAAGTCTTGAAAATGGTTGCATATTTTTAAGCTCTCGAATCATGTCTACTTTTCTCTCTTTATATTTTGAAGCAAAGAACAGTATTTACATCATCTAGTAGCACTAGTAATTATTTTCGTTCTTTTTTTTTATATTCAGATAACTTGTATTATAAAATTACACTTTGCAAGACACTTATGACAACAATAACCAAAATATATTTTTAAAGTTTAAGGTGTTTTGTACGACATACCTTTGGTGTATATAATATGAATTCTTATTAAAATGCTATTAAAAAAAGCAAGGACAACATTAGAAGTCTATTGCAGTCATCCATTTGACAATATCTGAAGAAGAAAGCAATAAACTCATGACCTAACTACAAGGTTGCTATAATTTCGGAAAAATCAATAAGGTTTCTCAAAACTATATTAAAAAAATGTTTAAATTTAGCTTCCACTTGAGCGATACGCTACCTTTCCTACGTATTTCATTTAAATTGAAAAATTGGCAGATACGAATAAGTTTTGCTGTCCAACCTCCTCCCCCACTCATAGGCCACATATGGCCCAACTATTTATATTATATTGACGTTTGCCCTCCTTACTAAAAAAAATAACAATATTTTAACATTATGTAGTATCATTATATATAGTTTCTGTATATAAAGTGATAAAAATTGACATTCGGATTTAAAATGAAACTATATTTTATTGTGAAATTTATCGAATTGCGTCTAACAATTCAATCTCACTTCAACAACTTATATTGACTGGACAGTTCACCCTCAATAGGCGTTTGTGCATCATGTATCATATCGAACTCACATTATTCAAAGTGGCCTTATCACGCTATTGGTAGAAAATGACATCACTACGTGTTGAAAGGAAGATGGTATGTATCGGCTGGCGTCTACTTTACTTTAGATGTAGATTTATTAGCCATTGGCAAAATGGGTGTTGTTTTCGGTTTGATGGCGTGCGCATTTTATTCGGACGTCATCACACTTTTCAACCGTGTTCAAGAGTATTAGTAAACAGTGCGCATGCGTCGTCATTGCATGCGTTGCTATGGCGACCGCTGCTGTTTGATAATTATTTTAGAATTCTTTTTTTTTCTTCCCCTAGCAGGCATTTTTAATGTATTTACATAATAATAATTTAAAGTATTTTTATATTATCTTTATTATTAACCTATAATTATTGTAGGAAAAGTATTTTGTGACGTCTTGAAACACGTATATAGGCAAGATTCGAAAACCAATCCGACCACAAGAGAACAAACATCAATTGAAACAGCTTTTGCAACGCTTGATTGGAAATGTTGTGGCGTTTATCGTAGTCAATCCAGAAAAGAAAAAAAAGCATTTGACCATAGGGTAACTAGTGATCATAATAAAGCGATCACAACTTTTTATATTATCTTCATTAAATTAATAGATAACATTTCTTTTTTTTATTCTTCTAAATGCTCACGTAATATCAGCATTAAACTATAAAAGAAATTATTACAAAATTGGGCGAATTATAAATAGTATTTTTTTAAACAATTTTAGTAATTAAGGTATCCGACTACCTTAAAAAAGAGGATTTTCACAAAAAATCACTTTTTTATTTTATTGCTTTATAATAATGCCCAATTTTTCTAGTTTTAAAAACTAGAAAAA